GTTCTCGCTAACCACTGCACCACCGTGTCAAAATCTTGCTGGTAAACAGCAGCTCAGCTTATAAAACTAACTGACTAACTAATTTAAAGGTCCAGTGTGTAAGAATTATTATTTCAACACTAGATATCACAAAATTCTTATACTGTACCTTTAAGACTGGATTTTCCAAGTTGGGAGAAATAGTAGTTACATTATCTCAGGTGAAGGTTTCAATTTTTTGTGGAAAAACACATAACACACTTTTGGGGGGGGTTTTTTGTAAATGACTGATCTTTACCTCAGACGATGTCTCTCTGCCACCTGTAGTTCTGCTGAAAACACCAAACACTCCATCTTAAGTCTCAACACTTTTCAAGACTTCCGCTGTTGATTTCTCACCACATGCTCACATGCACCTTACTGAATAGGTCAATCAGTTTTTAAAAAAGTAAAAAGCAAGGCGTCCACACCATCCATTTATTTAAACACCTTACCTCCCTCCTTCTCGCCTTGCAACCCAGCGGAGGCCATCACTTCTCCAGAGTTAATAGTGACACAGGGCCGAGCAGCATGCATAGGTGCTTTCATGACTGATGGATATTGTTGGGTTTAAGGCTATAATATTAAATAAATGGCCCATTCTAAAGTGCCCATAGGGACTTTTTTTTTAATTTAATTCCCTGCTGCAAAAACAGAAAAAAGTTTCGGCTGCAGCACGTATTGGTTTGTGTAAGTGGCAGCAGCAGACACGAGTAAGCACAATACAGGATAGTACAGGATCTGTCTGGATGAGGGATTATGATGTGTAATTATCACAAAGAATTTTAAACAGTCACTGATGCATTTTAAAAACCATCATTGAAAGGCTTGTAATTATTCCAAAATGTGCTGTTGTCAGTAGAAACATTTTATATTTGAAAATATTTCAGGTGACGTGTTTCTCCTCAGCTGCCAGAGAAGATTTCTGGTTTCGTGCCTTTTCTATCTGTGGCTTTTTGACGGATTTATTGATGCAGCGCTCCGTCCTATCATGACTGGAGCGATTACTTTACGAGCATCTTTTAGGCCCAAGTTTGAAAGAGGCGACCTCGTGCAGGGGTACAGGATTGATGTCTGGGTTATGTATATTTCATGTGTTACTGATTTGTTTGGACAGCGTTCCTCGGTGTATCCACTCCACTGAGGAGTCGCATCACCCGGGCTCATCGTCCATTTGCCTGTGGAGCTGGATTCATGGCCGGCAATGAATTGTGATGTCTGAGGGGTCTGAAGGAGAGAGTTAATGAAGTAAAAATTAATGAAGCACGTGAGCACCACCATCTCAAGGCTGTAAGCTCCTCCATGCCCCATTTATAATGTATGATCTCAATAAAAATCAATCCAATGTACCAGTTCTCACTGAGGGTAAGAATAGATTTACCGATTACAGCCCTGTGTTCCCCTGGTCATAATTACCCACTCACCCATCTTCCCCCCTGCTACAGTCAGTGTGCTGCCTCACCCCATCACAGAATCCAATGGGATCTCTGCGTCAGTGTTTGGAAATGAGCTGATTTCCTACACAGACACCAAGACTTTTGGAAAAGCAGCATATTTGTGTCGTTCATTTTCGTATTATCAAACGTACCGAGAAATGTGAGTTGAGGCACTTTGTCTCTCCTGCAGACTTTGAAAGTTAAAACGCAAAGGTAAGTTAGAGCAAGTTGCCTGTATTAGAGCTCCCCCTTCAGGTCTCATGCGGCACTGTGTGTCAGGAGAGTGGACTCCTGCACATGATGGGATGTAGCAGTGGTTACTATGCAGCGCAGCCCCAGTATTTATCAGAAGCTTTAATAGACTGTTTTCTATTTTGACAGCTATTTCATATTTATTAATCTGTTTTGCTGACAGAAATACATTTTGTCCAATATAAAAATGCAATTGAAATAATACAAATTTTTCTCAGTGTACAATTTATAATGCAAAATGTGAAGGAGCACTCCTAAACATCTTTACTCTTCCTCTGGTTTTTTGTGTCGTCCTGGAGCTGAAGTTGTAAACAACATGAAGCTCTAGAATAGTTCAAACTACAAACGTCCAGTTTTAATCATTTTAAACAAAAAAAGAAATGTATGGAAGCCCAAGTGGAAGAGAAACAGATTTTTTGTTTCAGATCAACCTACACATGCTGCAGACGTGCAGGTGCAAAAGCAGGATTTTCAAGTTCAGATGCCTGATGTGCCTGCCCCTCCACCGCCGTGAACAATTCTGTATTTATAATGTCATCTTATCACGCTCCCCTTGAAGGCAGCAGCAAGTGCACTTATGCCTTCCTTTGTTAGGGTGAGTTGGCAATTTCCTGTGAGATGGAGCTACTGCAGGCAGCCCCCTTTTTCCTTTGATAATGTCCCTGACACCTGGACCAGACTGCTGTTTCCATCACTTTGCAGCCCGGAACAGGAGGAAAGCAACATGTCATAAGCCTCCTGCCACCCAGAGTCACTCACTGTGCATTTAACAGCACTCTCCTCGCCGCACTCTCCAGGAAGTGGAGGTCACACATGGGGAGAGTTGAAAAGTTGCCTCACTCCATCAAGATTTTAGAATCGATTTTTTTCAAGTCTTAATGTTTCATCATCAGTATTAACCTGTGAATGGTGGAGAAGCTGGTTAATAAGCAGCGGGTCTGAAACGGTGTTTATTACAGACTCGACAGACCACTTCTAAATTATAATTAATCAGTTGATTTTGACCCACAGATTGTAATTGTGCCCTGCGAGTTTCATTTATTCAGCTTTTCTTCTGGCTCTACTTCCACCACCGTCGACCTGCAGGACAAATTAACAGTCTTCATGCTACCCTGCAGCCATAATGAAAATATTAGTCAATCAAAACCCATAATAATGCTGTGAAACCCTTCCACATATCTCCAGAGCTGCATACAAATAGAAAACAGCAATATAAGTGCTCAGCCTGTTCCGGGTTTATACTTGACAGTGTGAATGTGAAGCGATGTCTAAAAGCCTCCCTGCGCTGAGCACGTCCACCTGAGGCACCACAGAGCTAAAACTGTTGAATGTTGACTTGCAATACAAACAGATAATGTTTTAGTTTCTTTCTCAATTCCAGGAAGTGGGAGCGCAGGGCATGCTGGGATGTGGGGGCCCTTCTCTGCGACCTGTCTGCAGGTCTGGTGATGTATTGCTGGGGGCCAGTCGGCCACAGTCAGGGCTACGTGTGGCTGCTCACTGTGCCATGGCACTCAGGGCACTTCAACCCCCAGTCCCTCCTCACAGGTACTCCGCAGCCCGCCACCGTGCGCTACTCATTTACTGCTACACTGGTTTTCATAATTAGCGCCGCAAGGCCTCATTAAATCTGCTCTAATGAATAAATATTGTATTTCATAGCCTGATTACCAGATCAGCTCAATGCTTGAGCGTTGTAAACAATTACTTCCCTAAATATTCATCACCCCAAAGTGGATGATCATTGGTATTTAATACAGGACTAGCATTTTCAAGTGCATCTTTATTATAATAATAATAGTTTTTGAAATGTTTCCTTTTAGAGGAGGAAAAGAAGGGATGTTGGAAGTTTTATTTATACTAATGTGACCTAAAGTATGAGGATAAGAGGATTTTATTTATGTGTCAACTACAAAGTAAATTTTAATCACTGACCATAATTAGTTCCACTGATTTGCATTTTGAGCTGTTCTTGATATTCCGTTTTTTCACAAAGTGAACATAGGACACTTATATATATATACAACATATAACACGTTCTTTAGATTTCACAAATGATAAAAAGGTTATTTATTTATTTTGATTTATGGCTGGTAAAAACGATCAGGCATTTTTTTTATTGCTGTTCAATGATATTTTATTATATTGTTTTTATTGTTGTGTCAATACATGTGTAATTAATAAACACCAGATTTACAGTCTTAATTAGGACTGTACAGTAACGAGAGGAGACTATTTACTGTAAATTTTTAAATCAATACATTTATTTTATTACAAAATCGCAGGAGCTAGAAACAGTTTCAGTTTTAGTGTCGCACGCTCGTAGTCTCTCAAAGTGTGATTAAATTAATTGCATTGAAAGGCTCGACCACTCTGGGTTGTATATGTATGCGAAGATCTGCCCAATCAGAATGTGTCTGACCAGCCGACCTGCTCATCATGTAAAAACACACTCGACCTTTAGTCCGTGCATCTTCAGCTTGAAGCTGAACCATGTGACAGCGATGACAGAGGTTCGAGGTTATCAGCTATTCTCCAAAGTCATGTAGTGTAAATATTCTTCCCTGTTTATTTTTATGTTTTTATGTTGTGTGAAAAAAACTAAACTAAAATATCAATCCAGTTGCACCAAATTTGACACAGATAGATTTGAGTTCTCTTTATGGAGACTGATTATTTTGAATATGATGTTTAAACGAGCTGCTATAATAGAACATTCCACTTATATTCCCGCTCACGTTACGGAGCACAGTCTGATTTTGACATCTGCATTAAACGTGAAGATTTATACTTTTAAAGTAATAATATATACTACTTTCTAAAGTTTGCCAGTCAGATGTCACCATGGTCATATTTCAATATCTTGTGTGAGCTGCTGCCCTGATCTTGAATTTACTGGATCAACATCACTCATGTGCAGGGGCAGTGTGCACACTAGATACTTCTTTTACTCGTACAGCCTGATGCAGTTGTACTTGGTGATTATCTCACCCACTCGTTCTCGTTGGGGAGTTTCAGACCCTCAGACTAAAGTGGCTGTGATGACCTTGTAAAAGAAGTGGTGTCCAACTTTTTAACCAGCCATGAGTCAAAAGTTTCCTCAGCAAAACTCACAGTAAACAGACTGCAGCGACCCAACAGTGACAGAAACGTTAATAAACCTCCGGCCTCCACAGTCCTTAACATCTTCAATCACCAGCAGCATTCAGGATTTCAATCCTCCACGTTTCAATAACAGTAATTACAGCTGCCACTGTTCTGGATGGAGTGATGGTCAATGCCAAAGACAAGTGATAACATGATTGTGCAGTGATTAACGCTTTAATGAAAATGTACAGTTAACCCAATAAGCACAAAGCAAGCGTCACGGTGACAGATATTCCCATCGATAGCTGAGCATCACTCTTCCTGCCTCATAAACACAAGCAGGAGTGAGATGTGTTCTTACAGTAAAGAAGAAACCTCGCCCACTGATCAGAGCAGGTCCTGCTGCAGGTTTTACACAAGTGAAGCATGTTTCAAAAAGACGACACAGAGGTTAATTCCACGTCATTTCGAGTGGAGAATTGCACTTGTGAACAGAACCGGGCCATAACTCTATTGCCACCTTCAACCGTTCCTACTTAACAGTGGAAGGCAGAAAATGAGCCAAAGAGACTGAAGCAGAGCGAGGACGTACTTTAAACAGGATCAAATGATTTACAGGTATGAGATTCCCATTAGAGTGCGTGCTAATTGTTTCCACACCATTAGTGACAGTTATCTAATGAAGGATATTTAACCAGGCGCTGTAGTACATCACACAGTTGCTGGTGGTTTAGAAGGAAGAGGCAGTGGACCCCGGTCTGTGCCCTTTACACCTGCACCACCTCAGTAGCTCGCAGATCATTGGGTCATTTCTTCAGGACGTCCCCACCAAACCGTTTTTTTTCCCTCGTACATTTTACAAAAAGGATTAATGACTTGTAAAAAACACAAGCCGATTAGCAAAAAGGCACAAAGATGGATCCATTGGAAGCAAATTCAATTGTCGGGCTGAGAAAACATTTACATTTAAAACAATGTCAAATACAGTAGATCATTCAAACAAGCCGGACGTGTTCTCGCAAATGGGATTATTCAGGTATATACATATGTGTATTTTTTTCCCAACATGTTCAGAGAAAAGGGAATATGTACAACTCGCAAAATGAAGTGATCTGAACATTTGTGACCGCAGCCAACCATTTGAGGTTAAAGGTTCAGTGTGTACAATTAAGTGAAATCTAGTGGTGAAGTCACCTCACCCTCCCCTTCCAAACATGGCTTGAAGAGAATCTGGCATGAAGAGAATCTGTGGTAGCCTTCAGTTGTCATAAAAACTCAAAAGGTGTTTAGTTTGTCCAGTTTAGACGATTGTAAATCACATGGCGGCCTCCGTAGAGAGGGTCCCCTCAATGTAAATACAAAGTATTTAAACAGAAAGGGTCTTTTCTAGGGGAAGGAAAACAACAATTCATACATTTTAGATGAAATGAACTAGTGAAAACATATTAGGGTTATTTTCCGATAATTTCTGCCAGTAGATCCCTCAATCTTACACACTGAACCTTTAAGACATTGTCCTGCTTCGGAAGAGGAGGAGAAAGTCAACAGAAACTGCAGAGCGTTCACACATGCACCTCCTCCAGTGAAAATACAGAGGAGTTCAGTGCATGTCTGAAAGCAGCTTTAATGTAGGCAATCAGCTTTTGACAACAGAAGACAATATGAAAAAAATAAAAGCTTTAAAATGGAGAGAACAGGCTGAGCCTTCTTCGGATGTCAGTTAAAAATGAGAGAATCAGAAATTTAAATATTCAAGACTGTAAATAAAGTTGGACGCCAACTTCACTTCCCCCCTCAATTTAGAAATGAAACCACCATAGTGAGGTCCTGTCAGTACATGTGCTTGACCAGTCATGAATTAGTTTTAGCTGTCAATAAAAGTGAGTAATCAAATAAGAAAATGAACTTAACTTGTGCGGAAATGAACATTTGTACAGACATCTAAGTGACGATGACTGAAATGACAGGAACCATCTTTTAGTTCATTAGTCCTGACGTCCATCTTTACCAACAGTCTATGGAAACTTTGACTCTCAACACAACCAGTAAGTAACGTGTAACTATGGAAAAGCCGAACAATAGTAAAACTGAGTGTTTGTCAAAATGGTCACAGATGATGTCAGTTTGGTCCAGGAGCAGTTTCCTCCTCCACGCTTCATTCGCTGCTCTCCTCCAGCTCCTTTCTCAAGCTGCAGAGGGAAAAGAAAAGAAAAACCTTAAGTGTTAACCAGCTGATGTGTTAATATGAAAACAACACACACACATTTGTTTAAAATGCAACCAGTCACCTTTTCAGATAAGCGTGCACGTTGTCATAGCCGTGGAATTTTGCCAGGTAGACCAGCACTCCTGTGGCACAGCGACCTTCTCGGGCTCGACAGAAGCTGCAGTTACAGATCCCCCTGCATGGCGGGCACAGCCACTCCTGCCAGAGGCAACGAGAATCAAACAGTCAGACTCCCTTTCCACATACGTGATGAAATGTGAACACACCCTCGTATGTTGAAGACCTCACCGGATCCAGCAGAGCGTCTCGGACCTCCTCTCCGTAGCGGTTGCGAAGACAGGGGCCGCAGAACTGACCCCTCACCCCCTGGCACTCTGGATTACGGCAATTAGTTTTGGTGTCGATGGTTTTCTGGCGGCACTGGTGGCAGGTGGATCCCTGTAACAACATTTTACCGTCTTTAGCCTCAGTTGCTTTACAACAACAATGCATCCGCTCCAAAATTCTCAGCGTTACAGTGAATGTGACACCTACAGTGCAGCTGTTGTAAACTTTCTCTCGCACATTCTGGCAGATCCCCTGCAGCTCTGCCTCCGTGACGTCCTCCACGGACCGCACCACGTGAGGAATGGCCTTCATGCCGTTGCAGACACGGCGACGGGGCTGCACGAGGAATGAATGTAGTTAATTACACTGTGATTAATGCCTGTGTATTAGAATTTACGGCAATGTACGAGGAGAAGACAGATCATTTGTGAAATGACTTACTGGCTCATCATATTCCTCGAAGTAGCGACTTTTGCGAACCAGGCTGAACTTATCCTCAGGCTCCTCTTCGGAAGTTGGGCTGGGAGGTCCGTCCACCAACGTGCGGGATCGTGTGTGGGGTCGAGACAGACGCTCAGGGTTTCTCCTGAGAGCCCTCGGGGTTGGTCGCCGGGTTGCCTGTCTGGGCTGAAGAAGTGAAAATATTATCAGCTTTGATTCAGACAAAATCTGCCTCTGTGGTGTGTGTGTGTGTGTGTGTGTGTGTGTGTTAAAGAGCAGATCTGACGGTTTCTCTTTAGGTGAAATTACCGTAGAGGAAGCAGACGATGTTGTTCTTTGCGGGAAGAGTCCAGGTACTTTGTTCAGCTCTGCCATGAGCTTTGCAAGCTATAAAATAAAAGAGAAAAAGGACAAATTAATGAGTTTTTTGACCAGATTTCAGAAATCACTTTATAAAAACGCAGCAATTTGTACCATTTCTTTGTTCTCCTTTATATTCAGGGCTCTCTTGTTGATGAAGTCCTTCTCCTCCTCAGAGTCGGAGTCCTGTACTTTGGGTTGAGGGAGCGGCTCAGACGCAGGCCTCTTCTTTCCCTGCTGCTTCTTGGTGGGAAACGTCATGGCAACCTTCAGCACGTTGGACCTGCGGCCTCGTCTCGGAGCTTCAGAGTCCACTTTCTGAGAAGAAATAGAATTCAAAGTTAGAAGAAATTTACATGGAGTGACTTGAAGTTGTGAATTATGTTGTGGTTGTATTTTATCCAAAATGTACCATGGATTTCATCTGCCTGCTGATGCCAGCCTCCTCAAGTGCACTGTACGTCTCCTCCTCTGACGTGTGCACCTCTGGTTTCTGTGCCGTCCTCCTTGTCTGTCTCAAGCTGCTTCTCTGAACACACACACACACATTAGTTAGAGATGTTGCTGCTAAGAGTACATTGAGTTTGATGAGACTGTATATATGATGATATTTGGTCGCTCATTGTTACCGTATTTGCAAAGCCTCCATCTGAGCCGAAGCTATCGCAGCTGTCATCGGAGGAAGAGGAGGAGGAGGACTCCATGGGAACCAGGGGGACACTGCGGAAGCTCCTCAAACTCATCCTGGTGGACGGAGGAGGCTGAACTGCCAGTCTCTGTAAATAAAAACAGATGGGTTGAGGACACAGAAGTTGTTTGTACAAACAGTGACTCAGACAGGAAGGACTGTCTTATCTCAGTAACTCTCAAATACTTGGCCCAGATGGATTCCCTGTTATCTTGTTGGGTTGTAAGCAGACATTTCTGAATCCACTCCAAAATAAATCGACCTTTGCACGAATCAACTACTCTCATGATCAATAATTTGACAATATCTCAATCATTTAGACAGATTAAAGAAAAAGTGTGAAAATGATTTAAAGTCAGTGCATAAACTCTGGCATCACATAGTTTCTGGCTTTTTGCTTAAGCAATTAAAAAAAAAAGGTTCACTGATCAACATTAGTCCTCTGTCAGTTCACTAACTTATGGATGACTATGGGACACACCCCTGAGTCTGTAGGTAACTGGGTCGATCACATTTATATATGTTATGTATAATAATTGTAATATTTCAATGGAACTATGACTTCTTTCTTCATTTTTGCACAGTCACCTTGGAGGCCTGATATAACATTAAAACTGATCAATCAGAACAATATTATTCAAAACGACTGCTCAACCGTTACAACGTGGTAATAACTAAAAGTGTCAAAAGTCTGACACAACACCGGTGATGATGTTGAACTTTTTGAATCAAGTGGTTTTTCTTACCTTGGAGCGGGTCAGAGTCATTTCTCTTGTAGAAGTTTTCCTGCACGCGACACAGACACAGCGAGCAGCAGCTTCAGCTCTGATCTGATCTGAACAATGTGCATCCTGCTCCTGAGCGTAGCGCGGGAGATGTTCGTTTCCCGCGCCACCAGGAAGTCCTGGAAGATCTGTAAACCTAAACAGGTCGTTTTACTAAAGGTAAAATATGTGTTGTCGTACATTGGCGGTCAAGTTAATACTCATAACTCATGGTCAGCATTTTAAATCGCTGTTTGATTTTTAGAACCCATTGCACCGTATAAACGATTTGATTTATACGAGTCCGTGTTTGTGTTCCTTCCAGGAACTTTGTCGCGGCGCGAAGCTTTTATTCTCAATTTGCATACAAGGCGCGTAAAATGCACCTTCCTTCTCATCTTGAGATTTATGGAACAGGTCCCAGCTTCACAATCCAAGTGAATTTCATATTTAGTTTCAAGCTCACTTGTCACCTGCACATTAAAGTAGACATGAGTTAATAAATGACACTTGACAAATGAATATTTCGGTCGCACTTGAAAGTGGTTCACAGGTTATAGATAAATGAAATAAAAGGTTTTTATAGGCAGATAATGAAATGTATCTGTATTTTGATGTGTACTGTTCAAAAGGAGACACAAGAAGAAACTCAGTTAGAAACGATTGGAAGAAATGAGTCTGAATTTTGTCCTTGGGTTGTTGTGCTATAACACTTTATTTAGTTCCTTGTGAAAAACTGGCCTGATAAATAAACATATATTTGTATGTAACATTATCACCAGATGCCACCAATTCAATGTTGTTAGATGTTGAAAGAACAGGTACTGTATTTTTTTTAGAGCATTATAGGTTTGTTACATTAACCAAACAGAAGTCAAATTTAAAAATAAAAACCTTATTTGGTCATGCATATATATTTACATATATCATTAGTATCAGTGTATTCTCTTAAAACAACTTTTAGCATGTGTGGAGACATAATTTATGTGCATAACCATTTCAGTGCATGACATGTTTGGTGTACAAGGAGCTGTCAGTTCATGAGTGGCCCACGTTAAGTTCTCCCACCAGCACCACGCCCTCCCCTGCCGCCTCTCCTCTGCCGACCTCGGACTTGTTTATTGTCCTGACGTGGTAATCTTTTCTGTCGCTCCACTTTGATCCACCCTCCGTCGCTAGCTTTGGCCCCTTCTTTATCCTCACAGGGGTTTTCCGTCACAGACAGTATACCTGGTATCACGTGTGGGGGGTTCACTGATGTGACACTGTAACTGTTGGACCGTGGCCTCCCTGGCTGTCGCGAGGTTTTGCTGGTTTTATTGTGCACATAGCCTCTAGTGTTGTATGCGTGGCCCCTACCCTGCGCCATTCCCCCACTGCCGAAGAAGTTGTTCTTGCGGTGCTCGTACATTGCTCCAGCACTGAGCGGGCGCTCTCGTTCCCGCTCTGAGGCGCTCTCTGACGTGGTGCTGGAAGGACTGCTGCCCTTTGACCCCAGATGGAGCTGAGACAGTTTGGCCGACAGGCTGGCACTTGGCGAGGAGCTGCGTGAGTTATTCCAGGGATTTGTTTGGAGGTGGTTTGGAGAGCGACGCACAGCTGCAGCATAAGAGAACACCTGGCTTTCATGTGCAGACAGAAACTGAGGCAGAGTGCGAGCTTCAGAGCTAGTGAAGGCCGGTCGAGGAGCCGTTCGCTGCTGGGATTTTTGGGTCCTCATCTGCTGCAACCTTACATTGTGCATCCATATAGGATCAATATCTAGAATAGAAGATAAGCAATGATTAAAACAAGTGGACATTTGGTAAATATATTCTTCATATCTTATTTTTCTATACCTAGACTTCATTCTATATCAGGTTATGATGCTTTCAGTTATGATGGTCCTAGTTTATGGAATTCTCTTCGACATGAAATAAGTATCTTCTTTTAGGTAAAGCATATTTTCTTGCAAGCTTTTAGTTAGACTGAAAAGATTTTGAAACAGAGATTACAACTTTTATCCATATCATTATTATTACTATTCTCTTTCAATAGTGACAATGCCTTCCTTCCTTCCCTTTTGATAGCGATGCTATAGTAGTATTGTGATACTTCATTCTTACAGGTTTTTTTTATTTAAGATTTTCTGTGCTTTTTATCTTAAAGCATCATGAGTTTGAACTTGAAATACAATTATGGAGAATTACTCATTAAACTAATACAACACTGCTATTAATCAAACTATTACCGGAGCTGGACCTGTCCTTGTAGTTCCAGTCAATGTTGTCCGGCACTGTTTCGATGACCAGCTCCACAGTTTTTATCTCGTCTTGTCCACCACTGACATTCCACGTCACCGGGCCGCTGTAGCGGGTGCACTTTGGTGACTTGACATCATTCTGAAGTGTAAAGAAAAAATGAGGGCATTTAGTTTCAAAAATCTGTTTATTTGTGCTGGTATGCTGGTAGATCTTGAGTTGAACTGATAATAGGTCGATGTTTATTGTTTTGCAAGGTGCATCCCACAGGAGCTCAGTTGACTTACCTCATAATTGACTGTGTAGTCCACTCTCTGGTTCTGGTTTATTCCAACGATCCATTTGTCCATCACAAAAGGAGGCTGTGTTGTAATAATATGAGTTTGTTAAAAAGTGGGGACAACTGAAACCACACTACAACAACCCTGCGGGTAAAATGCAACCTTAGATCAGATGACACTGATTAAAAGTGATAATGTGTTTCTTAACAACACCTTAGTCATCCGCAGGACGTCCACATCCTGTTTGTTGGCATTAAAGATGACATCTTTGATGTAGGTTACTGCGCCGTCATCTCCGTCAAGCTCCATGTACATTTTCCATTTGCAGTCCTTGAACGAAAAGAGGCATTATGTAGATACTCTGAAAGAAAGAACACCTGAGAACTTCATGAACATAAACCAACAGCACAGCCTAGAGGTGGTTTAACGGCAGTGGCCACAGATTCTCACACTGTGGGTGAGGAAAGAGTTTATAACCTAAAAATACGATCAAATTATTTCAAGGGTGCAAAAATGTATAACTTAATTATACTAAGTGGGATTTGTATGCAATTGCTGTACTGGGGAGCACTTGATTCAGTAAACAACTGTGGCATTTTATAAAATTATTATGGCAGAGAGAGGAATGACAAAAATAGCAATTAACTTTGCTCATCGCAATATTCCTTGTCAAAATTTGACGTTTATGTATTTGTTAATTTTGGATTAAATTATGACGTTTTTGGCACAAGAGATGGTTGCTAAGGGTGAAAACCTTTATTTTTTTCTCATGAGTTGCTGCATGCGGCACACATCAAATCCTCACTAGGAGGCACAAATCTGAACAATTCCCCATCGCTCTTCCCCTGCATAACCAACGCTGACGAAGCAGTAATGATTCTGACAATCCCCAAAAGCCTGCCACAAATCCACAGGTCACTGCTTAACCACACAGGGTTCACGGCACAGGCCAATCCATTGTGCAGTGATCACAGAGAAAGACATCAGAGGAGTGGCACTAACACACTCGTCTGAGGAGCCTTTCGCCCTCTCCTGCATCGTCCCCGGGGACTGGAAGCGGCTCAAAAGGGGCAGCTTCAACAAGCCTCTGGCTCAGAAACACACCACTGGCCCCTGCGCTGGCCTGGTGTCGGCCCTGGACGGTCGCACCGGGGCTCCTAGGTCCATGCTAGTCTAATCACTCCAGCAGAAACAATGTCTGGTAATGATGCCTAGGACCCGAGTGCGTCTAATGACAACTCATACATAATTCAGCACCTTTCACTTGGCTGCACGGTGATATCCTCATTAGTAGGGGACCCTCAGTGGCTGTCAGATGGTGGCCGCACAATCGCAGGCCCTCATTTTGTCTTTGAGAAGTGCAGCTGCTTCCATGACATCGCCAGCAAAGAGGGGCGAAGAAAAAAAATCCAGTGCGGGTTTGTTTTATTTAGTGCAAAAAACCTTCCAGTTTGTAAAAACAAGGCTGACACAGAACCTGACACCAGGCAGGGGAAAATAATTAGCTCTCATTTTCTCAACCTCCTGTTTCCTTCTCCCTGCTGTGTTTTCTACCCACTAAACCACCACATGTCAGAAGAAATGGGAGGCAATTAGCAGTCTCGTTTCAGCCCTGCCGAACACACTGAAAGAGGACTATTTATGATGGGACAATGAACAGCTGAAAGATTAAATAACGTTTTCCTTTTAAAAAGAAAATGACTTCTGGCTAAATGGGCTATTTTTGATTAAATTCAAACAGCAAGTGAAGAGCCACCCTTTCTCCACAGTTTGAGGCCCTAACAAAGGGCTGCAAGCGAGTTGCGGTGGATGCGGCACACGGCTGAGAATGAAATGTTTATTTGTCTGGGTTTATACACGTCTAGTGATGCCTTCAGTGGTCAGCATAAAAGCCATCATCTCCAATTTTCAGAACAAAGCGCCCCGGTAAGAGGAGGCTGAAGCAATCATGGCTAAAAATAAGATTCTGTGCATTTATTTAAAAAGCAACAATTATTACACGAAATGTTAACATGTGAGTTTACAGAGGCAGTGATGAGATTCATCAGATGCAGACTATGTTGATGCACTCAGTGTGTGTGTGTTTAACTTACACTTTTCCCAGTCCCTGGTTTCCAGTGGTATCCAAACACCAGCTCCAGATTCACAGTTTTGCTCTTCTCTACCTCCTTCTCCAACTCGTCCTAGGAGGAAAAAGTTGGGAAATGAAACGTATGAACCTGAAATGGTTTCCTGACAATAGAAAAAGAAACTACCATACCTTAAATAGTGGTGGGAAGTGCACGAATCCCAGATAATCATTCGTCAGCTTTTCAATTTCACCCTGCACAAGAGTAAAGTGAAGATTCACCATCTTTCCAGTCTTTTTATCAATGAATTATTTGTGGGTTTTTAGCAGTAGTGGTTAATGCCTTGCCTTAAGGTATATGACGTGACCTTTGGACTTGACGCCCATGTCGCGCATGTCGTCTTCTGTGAGCAATAGTAACCTCTTTCCAGTGATGTGATTTTCTTTAAACAGATCAGCGTACATCTGCATGTCACATGTACCTTCCCCTGCTATAGAAAATGAAAAACAACCCGTTTTAACAGTATAAATAACAGTCTAATAATGAATATGAAAGTCTGATGGAGCCAAAGTCAGATCATATGGTTTCAAATGTGTGAAAGTAAATGTACAAACCTGCACAAAATATTTGCTGCATCCAGAAAAACTGAACAAATAAAAATGATCACAGATTATTTATTTTTAATGACAATGTTATGAAGACATGAGTTAGTATGTATAGAAGTAGTAAGGTATAGTCAATACACTTGTATAATACTGACCACATGCTCCTCAGTCCAGGCATAGATGTCATGAGTGGGCAGCAACTGCACAGAAACACAACACAAATAGATGTAAAATCAGTCAAATATAGACGTGTGCATTTATGACTCACAATCTTCAAGTAAACATCACGACTTAGTAAATGTGATTAAAATGGAAAATAGCCATGTTTTTCATGTCTTCAGAGCCATTACTTTCCCAGTTATTGTGCTGTGTGATTAAGACGACTCGCCTCTAATGGTCTATACCAAACCGAAAACGTCCATCTGACTGATCTCACGTGATCTATTTGAATGATAAGTTATTTATTGCTCATTAAATGTAATCAGGCAGAAACCCGCCCGCCAAAATAAAAGATTCCATCATTGTGCTCATGAGACAAGGTGCGCAGTGACAGAGATAATGCAATGGAAAATTGGAGGAAAGACGACTAAATGAATGAGCGGGCCCCTTTCACTGTCTTCTTCCCGAGACGTTAAGAAAACAGCTCTGACTATGAAGTGAAAGCCAGTGTCAATATTGCTGCCATACATTTCTGTGCAGCCGGCCGCCGCCTCATAGAGCTGCTCAGCCCTGCAGCATTTTCCGCCTCCTTCACTGCTGCAGCTTGGAAGTAAACAGATTCAGAAACACTCTTGCACTGCCAAAGTTTAATCAGAGTATGTTAACATCACTTTTCATAAATGTGCTGCCACGCTTCTGTTATTGAGATCCAGAGTGTTGCCTGAATTTCAAAATGATACATGTGGAATCTGAAGGGAACTTTGAATTTGGTTTAGTTCATACAATTCTGCCCCCATGTGGACTATTGGATGCTTGGTAACCAGAACATGAATTGAGTCACATGGTGTGAAAGTTATGTGTCACAAGAAAAGGAAATAGTTAGGAAATTATATTTTGCCACCGTTGTAAAAAGATTTCGCTCACACAGGGTTCCCACTCTTCATGGCCCAAGTCTGATAAAGTCAAGGACCCAACATGACACAGTTTGTGAAGAGTTGTTTGTTATCATGAGAACTATCAGGTTTTACAGAAGCTCACTGACAACAATTCAAAAGTGAGAGGCTTGAACGCTTCTCAATTTGCAAAACTAGGGAAGTGTTACAATAGTAAATAATGATTTATAATGGTGATTTATAATAGCGATATATAATAGTGATATATAATAGCGATTTACGATACACTTTAGTTCTGTTGACCACTCAAAGCACTTTACACTACAAACCAAGATGAAGTTAGGGAGGATGGGAGAAAAAAATATAGACAGTAACACAGTAAGTCAAATAAAAGAACTGATTTTCAGTTTTTCAACAAGCGAACAAGAATCAAACAATCAAGTTATTTCTATTTTCAAAAAATTACTCCTGGGAACCCTGGGGAGAACAAGTATCTTCCCCGCCCTCTTTCCCGCTCGACTCTGTCCTCACAAATTAACGCTTGAAGCTTGTAAAATATCTTTTAAAAAATGTGTTCACACACATGGAAAGTAATAAAATCTAAGACAAACAAGTAAGCAGAGAAAGTGAAAAGAATCAGATTTATTGACAAAATAATGAAGAATGCAGGAAAATAAAATCACACCAAGAAGCTGTATGTGTGTGTGTGGGTGGGGGGGGGGTTGATTTCCACAGTGGCACATACACCAGAAATATTTACATGAGGTGAGAAAGTCCGATGGGCGGTTNGGGGGGGGGGCACACACACTGGGAGTACAGGCGATGTTTGAATAGGAGTATTAGCTCATGGCAGCGAAGTAACAAGCAACAACACAGGGAAACAGAGGATTACATCCTCATGAGACCGACTGATGATCACAAGTGAAGGGGACAAATGAATGGGCTCTGCTCAGGGAAGCATGTCCTTCACCCAGATGAAGCATAAATACATTACTCAATGCTAATGCTAATTCATTGTTCTTTACTGAAAGTGCAGATCTTGATGCTAATAATCAGATTATGTACAGTATTTTATTGTATGTAAAATGTGTCTATGGATGGAAATTATTTTGTTAAAATTGATATATTGGTATAAAACATAGACCTAAATAAAGATGGACGACATGCTGGATCTACAAAAGCAGAGTGTCTTGTCTTGATCACCAACTGGAGGCTGGCTGCAGTATAAATCGTAAACCCTGCCTACTCTATGTTAGTTAATAGAACATGGACCTGAAAAATAATTTTTAATTTCAGATAGTTATTACAGTGATTTTTTCCGATTAGTTTACTTATTTGATGATGTAAAAGTAGGGGTGAAGTATCATGATTGACAGCTGGGACTGACTTGTGATTGGTTGAGCGTGTTTATCGGCGCTCCCTCACTACAACAGTTCCATCCCCCGATCACTACAGCACAGACTATGGCTCCAAATGACGTCTACAGCGCAAGATGGCTGTGTTCGTACCCGGGATATTTTGGCCTCATTTCCGGATTGTGGGAGGAAGTGGAGACATGTTGTCTATCTTAACATAGAGTCTACGGTGGAGAATGTGACTTCTGATTCAGCCACTGGGGCAAAAATATTGTTAAGTAGCATTTGTCACTTTCTTTAACCTGGCGAGCTAGGCCATAAAGCCTTGACAGAGAGTTGCGCTCTCCGAGCCTTTCTAAATAATGTCCTTTATATTTTTTTCAAATTTTTGTGGACTGAGGAAAAAAAAGTATAAAGTAAAATAAGCAAATGAAACTGACAGTTGCACAGTGCAGTCCATCTCCTGCTGTTTTGAACCTGGGTCACTCAGAGGAAAAAAATGTACTTTTTCATCCTGGTAAGAGAGTGCATCTCAACAACTGCACTCCACCACATCCATAACAAATTGGCCAATCTTAATGTCAGCAAAATGTCACTTCATCATAAAAGCCTGGTCTTTTCGAAGCAACTGGCTTGTGTGGCTCTTTCTTCACAGCATGGCACTATACAACCAGTGCATTAGACATACGCTAAATGACATCCATAATATACATAGGTGGAGGGTTTCAAACATGTTCTATAATATGCCACTGTGCTACATCGAGCTATTACTGAATATATATCATGAACAATGCAGAAGAAAAGCTAAGCCCAGACATGTTTTAGGTAATGATTATCAAAATTTAAATGATCAACGCGACTTAACAAGCCGTTCGTTTAGAAATCCACAAACACTAATAATGCACCGAGCGAGATGTGGCAAAGCCAAACACGGGAGAGGTTTTATTCACTGTTGTCCGACCAAGTGAAGCATCCAGCCCCCAGAGTCATGTTGATTTTGTGTCCTTCCCTGACACAGCTCGACTTGGAGGAGTTCTGCTTGGCCTGCATGTTGACCTGCATGCCAGAGTGCAGCACAGGCCAGCCGAAGTCCACGGAAAACATGTCCTTAAAGCCCTTCACCATAGACTGCAGCTTCACCCCCTCGTTACTCGAGGCCGTGATCTCACAAGACATCCGCGAACTGTTCGACTCCTCCGTCTTTGACTGATAGAACGACTTAGCACTTATCTTTTTTGCCACAGGTAAGAAGAGCTGAGAGGCAGAGACAGAGAGGAAAAAAGAGGGGGAGGAAGAGGGGATTGAAAAGAAAAGGAAGTAATCAGTTTCAATCCACAGAATAAAGTGTAAAATAAGAAAAGTGGGCAATTTTGAGCTCAACACAAGGTGTGATTTAGAAAACAAAGGAAACAAAGCAGAGTTGTTGAGTAAAGCAAGGTTGGGAAAGAAAGGAAACACAGGAAATGATTCTGATGTGTCTGATTCAAACAATTTCCTGATTCCCTAGAAATTGTGTGTTGTTGAGCGACATCTTCCATGATATTTGCACTGTGCACCATTGTGCCAGGTGGTTTGAGATAAACCATTGTGCATCCTTCACAGAAACACCAGTGAAAAGAAGAGTAGAACAGTTTCGGACCGACTAATGATCATGTCTGTCATTTTTCAAACAAAATGCCAAATATCTGTTGGTTTTAGTTCTTCAAAGTGAGGATGGGCTGCTCTTTAAGTCTTTCATGAGGAAAAAGCTATGTTTGGGATTATGAATGATCATCACATAATACACACAGTGTGATAATTGTAATATTTACGTTTTTATGAGACGAGAGAGTTGGGAATGGTTAGAGATGTTGCACATCAACCTCTTTTGCATGCGAAAAATAGATGCAAAGAAACAGAAAAACCATAAAGAAATTCTTGGGCTGCAGTTTTCACTCTGTGCATCATGCTGCAAATGTTCCTGTGCAGCTGTCAAGCACTACACTGCATATAAATGCAGTATTGCCAACGGTGTCTGCTACACATAATGTTCTCATAATGTGCTTCCGCCCTCTTCTCATTCCACGCTTTTTATTTTCATCTCACTGCTTCTCCATTTCCACTTCACCCCAGAGAAAACATCAGGAAGATTCTGTCCCTCTCTTAATGCGAGCGAGGAAACCAGTGAAAACACACGTGAACAGCAAAAGTAAAAGTGAGGTGTTGTTACTGTGACCACTTGACAGAGTGCGGCCGCTAACTTGAGTGTCAAGATGAACCGAGGCGCAGCCAAGGTGCGGAGGGGGGTAGGGAGGAACTCACCGGGGTGTTGGACTGTTCAACCAGTTTGCGCTCCCACATCTTCAGACGCCGCTCTCGCTCCTTCAGCTCCTGCTCTTTAGTGCTCAAGTCTCTCTCCAGCTTCTCGAGTCTCTCAAGTGTAGCTTCAATCTCATGCCTGCAGTTCACAGCAGAAGATAATATAACGTTAGTCTGTCTCCCAGTTCCACCTTCCCTACTCCTGCCTGTCGCCCCCTGCGCCAAATATTGTATTATGTATACAGGCCTTACATCTGCCTGGAGTTAAAACTAAACTTTAAACAAATGCCAGCGATGGCATTTAGCCACGATGCAGCCCACTGCTGTAACCAGCTTCAAATGGATATCAAACTTGCCCCAACCATAACCTGCTCTATCTTCCAGTGCCTTCACTTCATCACTTAATATCACATTTTAATTAGCCATAACCTTGTTTATAATTTGTGCTTTTATACTGTTTGTGTACTTTTGAAACATTGATTGACCTCTGTGAATGATAAAACACTATACAAATACATTTTCATTGCCTTGCCTAAAGGGTTAAATCTTTATGGCTCACAAAATATACCACATGCAGCGGTGACTTTTTAAGCAAAATTAAATAGTGCATTTATTGAGGAAAATACACTGTAACACAACAAGACCGTGTGTGTGTTTGTGTGTGTGTAAAAGTCTAACAAATAACATATATTCTTTATTAAACAGTACAAGCACATTAAACCATTAAACTGCATGATTAAAACTTGGAAAATTTGGGGATTTCCACTGGAATTTCAGATGCAGTCATGTGTGTTTGAAAAATTAACAATGGTGGTTTACCACACAGAAAAATAAGCTACATCAAACTTTGAGACAAACAACATTTGTTTGGAGCAAATTCATTTTTAGTTAAGGTTCTTCATGAAATTAGTCGATAGACTATCAGCAGATAAGTGGCACAGTTTAAGTTCTCGGACAGAAAGTAGTGACACATAATTAAAACAAAACTAAATGAAACCCTTCTGTAAACAGCCACGTGACGCCCTGCAGGCAGAGAGTGATTAAGCTTCTTCGAGTCTGAAGCTTTGAATGCCAAGGACAGGACAATGCCTCACGCTAACGTCACGCTGAGGGAGTTTGTTTTGCCCAGCAGGTGGGGCTGCACATTGTGTTGTGGAGCACATGCTGAGCCTCCGCCCGACAGAAATGCTCTCTTTTCATAAACACATGCAGCCCAGGCAGGAAGGCCCATCCCCTTACTCCACTGCATCCTCCACCCTGACACTTCCCACCTCAAACAATATCCACTCACTCTCCACTTTCCAAATAATTTGTTCTCCTGCTTCCCACTTTCCTGATAAACTCTCAGTATTTCACGTCCAAATTTGAAATACAACTGTCAGAGAATTGTCGCTTCTTCTGCTTCATTTTTAAGACTGCGTCCAAACTTTCTGCACAACAGTAGACTTCTGTTCAGTTTGAGCTTTAACTTCATCTGCTATGTTTATATTTAAGTTTCTTACCCAAATAATTTCAAACAACACAGGATATTACACACTAGAGCTGGACAATATGACCAAAACTTAATGATAAAAGATAAAAAATAGATACACTGAGCGATAAAATAAAAGATAAAGATTCTCAAATCCGTCAATATTGATAACTGTCAAAATAATTGTCAAATGGTTATGTCCTTTAAGTTTAAGAAATAGATTTTATACTCCTGAGTGAAACAGGCAATGTGCAGTGAAGATCTAAACACTATTTCACCATGAAACAAAGTCAGAATTTAACCTCGTCATGATTCTTTCATCTGAAGCCCAATGAGCTGAAGTACAGAAACAGACAATGTTCCGTTACCTACTGCCTGAACGCTATATTGTCTATTTCTGGGTAATGCACATCAGCTACCTGAGCGAATTAAAAACAATAAATAAATCTCTTTTCTCTCTCCTCTCCTTTCACTCTCAGCCCGTTGAGATTTAATTGTGTTCAAGTATTTCTCCATTCCTCAGTTTTCTCAGAGTCTCACTCCAAACTTGCTCCACCTGCAGATGGCTGCCCGGACATGATGCCACCAGCACAACTTCTGAGGAAAAACCTCAGAGCGCAGACAAGCCCCACAGAGAGGCAGACAGAGAATAAAGTAACAGCTGAGACTCAGGCTGTGCTGAACATCACCAAACCTCCAGCTGCTCATACAGGCCAATTAAACACTTCTACTTGAAAAAGATGGTGATTATTTTAGGGCCTTATGGGTAAAGAGAGGAAGTATATCCAGATGGATGATTCTTTGGAGGTTTTCATGCCTTTATGTAGCCATCAGTGTAATTATTAAAGATCTATATGCACGATCTCAAGTCCTTTTTGTATTTCATGGCCCCCATCAGCTACATTTCCACATCATTCTTTGAAAACAGTTGCACATTTCCTTAGGCTGAGGCAGTATATTGGTGAAAAACGAGCGTTATAAATACATTTATTGGGTCTGGAGAATGGATGATCACATTACCTCCATTCAGCCTTGTTGTGAAGGAAAGAGTTGCACTGTTGAGGAAGTTGGCTGTCATTAGACATGGACTCCAAAGTATAGAGGATCTGTTTGAACATTGGCCTTTCCTGAATGAACATAGAAACATACGATCTGTGTGTGAGTCAGGAAAACATACATATTTTGTTCATGTAGTGTAACTTTGTGGATAGCTCACTTTTGGCTCTGTTGCCCAGCAGTTCCTCATGAGCTCAGCAAAGCTGGCAGGACAGCCACTGGGGATGGTTAACCTCTGAAACACACACATGAGTTGATTGTTTAAAGTGGACACAATCATTATAAGTAGACATAATTACTATTTATATTTGGGTCATTACTTGAGAAGGTTTACATGCTCTAAAGTTCAGAAAACAGAAAGAATCAGCTTTATTTGCCGTGTATGAGTACACATGGTAGGAATTTGACTCAGGTGTAGTTGCGCTCAGTGTACTTCCACAGATAGTCTGTTCCAATTAACAACGGACTACCAGAAACTAGTTAATAAACGTGACCACTATGTGCAGCCAGTTAACTGATGAAGTTTCTTCTGTACATGATGTTGATGAAGGCTGAGTTGCCTCAGTTGTTCTTACTTGAATATATGAGTTTATTATGACATCTGTCGACAGAGAAGATTCTTAGTCTAACTTCAAATTAAAAAGCTTCACCCTTATATCTTTCTATTGACTTTGTGTTTTATAGCAGTGCCCCTCTTTCCTCCCCTCCTTTCATTTTCTATGCTAAGCTAACATAGCAGTCACCTGACTCCAGCTCCATATTTTACAGTGGTAATAATCTTCTCATTTAGCTCCACAACAAAAAAGGAGAATTTAAAAAATATCAAATGTCAACAAGACATAAAAAAGTATAATGATTTTAAAAAGTGTAGTTAGCAGCTATTTATTATGGAATTGATTGATCCAAACACTGTTGAGACTTAAAGAGTAATAATATATGCGTTTAATCACACACTATAATACCTCATTTTTCTCCACGACGAGCCAGGCCACTTGTAAACCTTCCAAACCCTTGAAGGGAATCTCACGGGTGAGCATTTCCCAAAGCACCTTTCACAAAATCAAGAGCCAAGGTCAGTACCCAAACAAAATATCAATATCACACAATATACACATTCATGTAAGCGTCTGAACTGCAGATTATATATTCAACTGCATGAATACATTCTGAACAAGTATGTTTTATGTGATAATATAATACGTGTATTCATATACTCAAAACACTATTGTTCTTAGAGACCAAATGCAGCATATAAAATAGACAAAAATACTCCAAGCACTAAGCACAATGACTGTGTTCTGTTGAACATTTAGCTTTTTTTCAGTTTGTATCCTGCAGCGTCAGGAATAAGAAAATGTGATGAATGAAAAACAACCATTAACTGTATACATGTACCTCGTGTTTTTGCATTTCTGCACTTGCCAGTTTCCTCCTTAAATCTGCAATCATTCTGCAGTAACTCAGGCATAAAAGGACACTCATTGCAATCACAAACATTGTCTGTTTTACTCTTCAATTCATTCTTGTTTGAAAGGGGCTGGAATTTCAGCTTCAAGTCAGTTGAGTATAAGTGGTAATGATTTCCAACTACTCAAAAATGTCGACAAAAACTTCACTTCAAGAATATTGTCAGGTATAAGAACCACACACTAAACACACTATACTTCTGCAAAGGTAAAAAAAACCTGCAGAAGTGAAAATTAGACAGGGTTACTCATTTTACTAGGCCAGGAGCGACCAGTGTACTTAAGTGAACTTTCTTTTAGTGCATGAAGCATATTGCAGACTGTAAAAAACATTAATGTGCCAAGTTTCAGTCTGTTCTTCCAGTTGTTCACCAGCAGAATCACAGGACCGACTCCTCCTCACTCTTCTCACTCTCATGAGCTCCTCAGTGCGGCTGGGTATTACCAGTGTGTATTTTCAGTTTGGACCACAGTGTTGTGTATTCAACTGCTGAGGTGTCTGCAGCCAAATGAAGGAAGGTGTCCGAACACACAGCTTCAGGCCAGGGGGCGACGAGGAGGCTGTTAAACGTGCGACGGAGGGATGATTCTATTCTAAACAATCTCCACAGAAAGAAAATGGAACTCTCCCCCTCTCTGCTTTTTTCTGTGGCTTGTCTGACAAAATCAAAAATGAACTGGCTGCTCGACACTTTCTCAGAGACCTGGATGCTCTTGTTGAGCTGACTAGACATATTGACAACTATACGAGAAGGAGGAATAGGGAGAGATTTCATTCCTCGGGTCCCTGAGCACCTGTCTTCTCTTCTTCTGTCACCACAGAGCCAGTCAAGTGGACAGATATGAGCCCATGCAACTGGAAAGGACCCATCTTTCTCTCCCAAAGGAATGCAATCAACGTGGCATGGAGAATCACTGCATGTACCACGGCCAACATAGGAACTTTGTCACTTCCTGCCCAGTATAGGGAAGTACTCAGCAATCCGGAGGGCACTGTTGGGCCTGAAATATCAAATGACCTTTAATTTATGCACAGTGCCCACACACGCCAACTTTCTGGATTCCTCATCATCCTGTCAACGCCACATCCTGAACAACCTGGACTCTAAAGTCCCACATTCAGGCCGGTGCTCTTGACAGCCACCTCCTCACTTCAGTGCTATTTCTAGAAATTCTGGTTTATATCTAATATCTAATCATCTATATATATTCAAATTTCTTATATCCGGATATATATACCTCAAGATGTATTTTCTTTTTTTGTTTATGAATATGTACATTAAGAAGAATCTAAAGTTCATCCTGCTCCCACGGTCCAAAGACTTGCAGTTTGGGTTATTATCCGGCTGATGTACCCCTCCTCTCACCTGATGTCACCTGGTACTGGCTGCAGTTCCCCCCAACCCTCAAAGGATAAACAGTTTAGCTAATAAATTAATGGAACAATGTCCTTGTGAAAGTGGGTTTCCTCTTCCTCTGAGCACACCGAGTCACTTAGTGACTTATTACACATTAGGGAACCTATTCTTATGACCGGAAACCTCTATTCTACCAGATTTTTAATCCTGTAAGAAGTAAATATGTTATAAAGAATTACACAACTTGCATAAGAGTTATGAGTTGATTGTGAAACTTCCCCCTCCTTGTCACTCACCACACCATAGGAAAATGTGTCACAAGTCTCAGACACAGGCAGACTCTGGATCACTTCTGGAGCCATCCAGGGAAACGTACCAACCAAGGACATGTGCGTTGTGTGAGTCAAGAACTTCGATGCCCCAAAATCACAAATCTGAGAAGATACCAACAGAATTAAAAGTGATTTTGCCGCAAATATTGGTTTCTACTGTTGTGTTATCGCATCATTTAGGTCTGATATTAGTTGCTGATTTAATCACTATAGTTTCGCAGGAAAATTCAATTTGAAAAGCTATGGTCTTGTTTTATTTCATGAAATGTCGCTCTATGGAACACCAGGTACATACAGAAAGTCTCTTCAACATATTTTTGGAGTAACGTGAACAGTTTTCCCGAATACTACTACTACAAACTATACTGAAAATACAAAGCAAGACTTATTTGAGGTCCATTCTGTCTCATGTTTCTGATAAATATTCTTTCTCTTTGCAGTAAGACACAGTGGTTAATGCTCTCAGTGGCTTCTTGTACATGCTAAGTTAGTCACTGCCCTCTTGTGTCCATATTCTGTAGGTAAGTAACATCATGCTCGTATTCCATTCAAACACATATAGATAAAGGATGACATTTTCCCTGTGCAGTCATATTAAAAACTCACCTTGAGAACTTTGTCTGCAGATAACACAACTAAAAAGGAAAATAGAGAGAATAATGTTCATAATAAAAATCCAGTATTAATGTGAAAACAAATTAATATTCATTTTGGACCTCTTGGTAAAACAATAATGTTACAAATCTTTTACCATTCCTGGACTTCAGGTCTCTGTGGATCACCTTAATCGGTGCCTCTGAGTGCAAATAGTGCATTCCTACAGAGAAAAGTAGAGATGTTATTTACAAAGATAAATAAACAGATTTTATCAATCACATGACAAAGTAATGCATCTTTCAGCTGCTCACGATCTGCATCACATTGCAGATTCTCTATGTGCTGCTTTAAATAGAAATGAAAACTATTTGATAATAATAATGGGGACTAATTGACTCTTGTTCATATTTAATTGTATACTTATAGTGTGTCTACTCCGCCTGCACACACTGAACCACACAACTGTTGGTGATTTATGTAAAAATCAATAATGACGATAACAAATAAAGGCAAAAGAATAACATCAAATATTCTTTCTTGCTTTGTAAACTATTTGAATATCAGAACAGCTGAGGCAGTCTCATCAACATATGTGACTGAAATTCAAAAACATAAATCTCACACAGCACAATTTCAGCATTGGTTTGAATGATATAATTACATTATGTGACATTACAAAGGGATGAACTAATAGTCACATTTACCTCGGGCAATGTCTGCGGCCCATGTCATGATCTGTCCCATGTCCATTCCCTCGCTCTCAGCACTGGACAAGTATTCATACAGCGATCCCCCACTCGCATACTCTGTGCAGAATCGAAATTGTGTTGTAAATTTAAGTAGATAAAGATAATTGGGAACAAGAACAGAAGAAGATTTGTGCTGATAAAATGTCTTTCAGTGTGAACACATTCCTCTTGAGGTATTTAACATATTAGCATATAATAATTTGCAACTTATCTAATGCCTTTTTAAGCACCTTTCTACAACTTTTATTCTAACATTGTACATTCTATAAATAAATCTGACTTGACTTTACTTCACTAGTACAGAAAAAGAGCTGCATAAAAACAATCGACAGATGAAATCCTGCTCGACAGCTCCAAGAAGCCAAGAGTCCTATTTTCAAACTGCTCTCGTCACCAGACTGTTGCTGTGGATAAGCTTTATTTATCATAATGAAACTGAACAAACTGGTGTGTTCGGTCTAAAGTTTCAACAACACAGAGGACCAATCTTTCTGCTGTTTCCAAAGATTTCATACACTTCTATTGGGACACCGCCTTGACAATGCTTTTGCAAAAATCCTCTCCACAAAGGTTTAATAAAGCTTTTGTAAATGAAATATGTAAAACAAATGTGAAAATATAAACAAGGATAACCAAGATGTTTGCTGTTAGTAGAGATGAAGAGTAAAGTGCTCGAACAAATATTAACAAGCACGATCATAACAACTAACACAGCAGGGATCCACTGTTTGTGCACAATAACCCAATCATATCCAAACATAGCAACGTAAACATGCACAGCCACAAAGTAAGGACTGTAAATAACAATTAGAAAATCACCCAACAATCTAAAATGTTCTATGGGTCTTTGTTTTACTTGTATTGTAGCAGGGGCTGTAGAAAGTGTGTTTTAGATGAAGTAACATGCAGCAACATTAACGTTCCCCTTACTGCCCCTGACTCTGTACTTTGTACTTAAATACGTTCATCCGCATTCCATAGATAATGCGAATAGTGGCTCTAATATAAACTGCACTTTCATATTCATTTCATCTACCTCCTCAGAGGGAGGGAGCGTCATGTCACATAAGTATGTTGGCCCCTGAAGTGCAAAAATAAATCACAAAACTGCAAATGAGAAAAAAGATTTGTTACTGTGTTATGACGTTGTAATTTCAGGGCCCCCGTTCAAACACGTTTAATTATTTATCAGGTAAATGCTCCTAAACTCCGAACAATAACCAACTTCTATTCATGTAGCTTATTACGGCTCTGAGTGACAGCAGATATTGTTAATCTGCTGCAGGTCAACAGAGACAAACAGGCGTCTCAAACAGGTTGTAGATTCTGGGTGCTGGAGAGAAGTGCCCGGCCTGATGCTGTGTGTCAACTGACAGGGGAAATTTATAACGCAGCTGATGAATGTGGACATTGCATGGTCAGGGTGACCATAAACATTTTTCATGAATCTGGTGTTAATTAGATTCTGCTTTCATAATAAATAAAGACATGAACCAGCTCCTTGACAACAGAGCTGTTCTGTTTCACAGCTGCAAAACACTACATCTGCTGCCGAGGAGGAGACACACTGTGAGGGTCTGAAAGTCCGGCTCTGAAACTGTATATTCAGGGATCAAAACTTTAAATGATGACAGCTGCTTCTTTCCCCAAATTGCATTTCTTTTCATTTCTCTTTATAGACTCTTCTTAACTTTTCACACTGAAATGATCTGTTTCATTCATACTTTCTTATTTACTGCATGAGAATAATAAGAGACAGAAAATCCTTTATTTCATCATCTGTAGAAAGGCAAATTTAAAGGTGGTTCAAGACTATTTCAAGATGATATTCAGCTGTGAGACCTGGAGGTGTGTGTATGTAAGTTGGGACCAGTTTTCAAATGTATTGCACTGTAATATTAAGACAATGTGATGTTCCATCACAGTTTAATTCTGCAGAGGTTCCCAGCTCAGCCCATAATATCAGATATCTACCACTCTCAATACTGAAGTTATAAACTGGATCTCAGAAGACTGTAGTCATGCCAACAATGAATATGTCCCACAACACTGGAAAAAATATTTACCGACTTTAAAAAGTAGGTAAAACATTGTATTTTTTTCAGTGAAATGAAGATTTCTAACTGGGGCATCAGTTCAGTGGGTGTGATGTTGAGGATATTTTATATCCTGACAAAAAAATCTGCAGTAGAAAACAGACGTTATAAACATCCTGTGTAATTTACAAAAGAAAGTTGTTTTTTGTTGTTGTTTTTGACCACACAACACAATTTGAGTATGAATTTGTCAATTTGAAAGCCAATAGTTTTAGGATTTCTGTCACTGATTCTCTAATCCTCACGGTTGTATGCCTACACCAACCAGTCAAGCTGCAGGAAATATGGTCTGCTCTGCTGTTTTATATATAGATATAAAATGACAGAAAAATGTCTTTCTAGAACGTTATAATATCAAAGTGAAGTTGACCTTTGACATTTTAGATATAAAATGTCCTCACTTATTCATTTCATCCTTTTTGACATTTGCCTGAAATCTTTAATAATTAGCGC